GTTCAAAAACGCACTTTCATTGAATGAATTAAACACCGCTGTGTTTGCTTTTAGAGATGCGCAGCGGTTGAGCTGTTACTATATTTGGAACTATTTTCGTTAAAGAAATAGAGCAAAATCAGGCAGTACTTGTTTACTGAACTGTTGTATTAAAATCAATATCACATTTGCAAACTCTACTATTAAAAGCTGTCACTCTCCTTATCGCGATCTGTGGGCGCACAGAAAATGAGAGCATGCGAGTGAGTTCTCAAGACTCAAAAGCACATGCAAATGATACATCCCTTCATCTGTCATCGTGTTATAAGCGAGGAACCTGCGGGAATTAATAGAATTGTTATTAATAGCCGCAATACAACACGCCGAAATTCTAATCCTGCTCTGTGTTCTCTGCTAATAACCCGACTGTGAATGAAACAACAACAACAATGCGCTACATGTTTCTTTTCCCTTAATTTTTTTCCAATTGATGGAAATCCGTCGTAGCGATGGAAAACAAGCACTTTCAAGGACCTATGTTTGTTTTCAAGTACTTTCCAGGCCTTGAATCCATATGTCTGAAATTCAAGTACTTTCAAGAAGCGTGGGAACCCTGATTTTGTGTGTATTGTTTTATTGTAGGCTATTTAAATGTTCAGTTATTAAACCTGTTATACTGTATTATGACAACACTTTTTTGCAACTAAATTTCAATATCGTGATAATACCGTGATAAAAGCATTAGCAATTAATCGCAACATGAAAATTTGATACCGGCATATCCCTACTGCCAACAGGAGGTGCTTTTGGAGCAGCAGAAATAGCAGTTTCCCGGTAAAGGCTGTACACAAAGCAGCACTGTGTACATGAAAGCTATCAGGCATTATATGAAAGATGAATTAAAAATTACAAACTTTTCTGAAGACAGTCGGTTCATATAAAAACACCAGCGCCGCATTTTGACTGAAATGTGCAGAACTCATGTTTATTCAATAAAGTCAAAGCCTTTTGGAAAATCTATTTGTGGCAGTCACTGTTGATATTGTGGCGGGCCACCACAAATAAATCAATGTATGGGAAATACTGATTTCGGTTCATCAAAATGAAGGTTGATTAAAATCAATTAATTAATACTGTCAACCCAGCCCTAGTCACTCTTTCTGGTATTGCTGAGTGGACCATTTTAAAATTAAAGCAGGAATTGGATTCTCACACAGTCTCATGTTAGCACATACATGTTTACATTTTGTGGCTAACACTTTCAAAACAGTATTTTAATGATCATTGCTGTTGTCCATCAAACTTTCAATACTGTACACACAATTTTTGTATTGAAGTGACTACTCTGTACCTGATGTTAGTGACTGGTTCATGGTTCTCCTGCTCTGAATCAAACATGGCCTCAAAAAGTGAACCGTCCTCTGTTTCATCATCATCTTCCTTCACATTCTCATTTACTGTGTTCACCACCATATCTGATGTCTGTTCATAATACTGAACAAGCTCTCTTAGTTCATTCAAACGTTTGTGCACCTCCTTAAGTTTCCTGCATTAAGTGACAAAACAGACATAAAATACGCTGCATTACTAAAAATTACCAAAAAAAAAAAAATCAGTTCATCAATCAAATGAGATTAATAGAGAAACCTGAGTTTATCAGCAGGGTGGTTATCATCTATATGCGTGTAAGATGAGGAAGAGTCCTGCCTCACTGGACGTGGTCCATTTCCCTCTCTACCCAATACATAGGGACGCTCTAACATGCCCATGTGTGTACCACGCTGACTGACACTCTGACCTGAAGAAACACAAATACATTATTTATTCAATAACAGTACTTTTCACACAACTGCATCAAAAGCATTTAACACAACAACATATTGCAAAAATGTACAATTGAGATCATCTAAAGCAGGGTTCCTCAATAGGCGGTAGGGATGTAACGATTACCGATTTGATCATGATAAAATTCCCCACGGTTAGTATTACCGTTTCATCTTTTAATTATCATTAAAACCGTATTAGATTACCGCGATTTGAACAACTTGCGATAAATAAATACTATCCAGCATAAAGCACAGTTTTCAGTAACAGTCTCACGTGCACACAGCACGCAGAGTAGTTTCGTTTTGTTAAGGGAAAAAGTTCTAATTCAGCTTTTCAATAAGCGCCACCTGCTGTCAGCGAGTGGATTTACAGAGACCTATATTTACATTCAGCCTGTGTGCAGTTTCTGTCTGGCCAAAAACGGACCGAATTTGCATACACTGCAGTAAATTTTGACCGGTTGATGAAAAACAAGCTTATGTGGATTCTACACATTTAAACAATTCA